ACCTGGGCAAGTCAGGAGGACTAATTGGATACATATTAGGCATACTAGAAGACCCACCTGATTCCACATGGAAATTATGAGAGTTTTCGCGGTTCCTTGCTGTAGTTTCTAAACCACGATATGCTCTCTCCTTCCATAACTCTCCCTTGCTTTGATCAGTAACAGGGAAAGCCGGAGGCTCACGTGCATTGTTGAACAGAATCTGCACAGGCTGGGAAGACATAGGCAACTTGTCCAGTTGAAGACCTTGAGAAACAGACTTCTGGCTGCTTTTATCATGTCCTGTAGGCATATATATGATCCAAATTAAAACATCAAAACTAGATCAAAAAGCCTATAGCACATATTTATGAAATTGCCAACTTTGAAATGGAAAAGAATCCTATAACTTTATACTTTGGAAGATTTTCAAGATGGCAGGAAACTGAAAACAACCATAAGATGGTTAGTCCATAAGATCGTGTGCCACTAAACAAAGCATGGCCACTTTAATTGCCCAAACATGCATGAAAAATCACAAGAAAAACACGTTTTTCCTTCATTCCCATTGAACAAGATACTGAATAGCAAAACACACATTATGCACAATGCAGAAGCCAGATAAACTTGTGCACAAAATTCTGAAGTGAATGTAAAGAACAAAGAATGGCAAATTCATGAAGAAACATCACCTGCTGCAAGGACATGAGAGAACCAGCCTCTTCCAGTTCCATTATCCAAATGCATCTTGTTCATGCCCCCATTGTTGCTTCCACGATTGTAATTTGGCAATATTTCCTCTGGTAAATCTAGAACCTGATTCTTTGATCTTGAAGATGGTTCATGGCCTTGAATCTCCTCATGAGAAGAGGAACTCCGGAGAGGATAGGCATATGCAGAAGCATTTGTTTCTTCAACCTGAATAGGCTCATTCAAGTCAGCCAAACCATTCCTGCTCCTTGAACCAGATCTCATAGCATCTCCCTGATGAGTGCCTTTCTCACCATCGTCAAGTAACAGCTTCTCACTACTCTGAGGTGCAATGTTTAGATTTCCATTAGGAAGATAATTCGATGTGCCAGATACTGTATCATCTCTGAACTGTTCCATTTCATCTGTGTCAATGTACTCATCAGCTGGAAGTTGAAGATCAATCATTCTTCTCCTGACTTTTGAGGGTCTGGACTCCAGTATTTCAATATCCTTTCGACTAACACCATTTTGAGATGGAAAGGGAGCAGCTTGGCTGCTGCTTCCTTTTACAGAACTAATAGGAGAATGGCTGTCTTCACAATGCAACTGATGGCCGAGCACAAAGAGAATTTGCCAGAGGGAAGCTCGTGATATGCCATCTACGAGCATCCTCAGATGTAATTTGTGATGCCAAGGCGCTTGATGATAATGACGCCTCAATAGGCATCCGATTCTTATGTAGCTCTTTTCTTTTTACTTCATCCATCAACTGCCTTTGAATTCCGTATAAACGATGAAGCTCAGAGACCTGAATTGAGATAGAATTAAGAGACATTCAAACTAGGAAACAAAAACTCGAATGTCCAAGTGAGGCTCAGATTGATTTCGAATAAGAGAGATCAGCTGAATCCACCTACTTTCAAATCATACATATGAGATTATCATAGGAGAAGCTAGTAGACCAGAAATACCTGATTCTGAAATATGGCTTCGTGCTCGAGCATTGTCCGTTTCACTACATCCTTATCATATCCTGAATATACATCTGGCATGGCCCTGGGCAAAAAGCCATTATAATACTGTCCATTTGCAAAGGTTTTATCTCCATAATATAGTGGCCAACTACAACTGTTAGAATCTTCATTAAGATCCCTCATTGAGTGGTATCCTGGCAAGTAACTTTTGCACTGCACTTTTGTTCCCATGCCTGGTAACAAGTGAAGGAAATTTACCTTGTTAAGCATGAAACAAGCTAATTGTAGAAGTTTCAAGTATTAAAGAAAGGATTCATTAGCAGAATTCTACAATCCAATTCAATTTACGAGGATTAATTGTTAGTGTTCATGAAAATATAAAGGAAGAGATACAAGGAAAATAAAAAAGTTTCCTTCATAGTTTCCCTGAAAGAGAAAAAAGATCATTTGTTTCTTTCAAAAAATTCAGCTTGTAAAATTATGGAGTCAACAATCTCCTGCAATTCAAAGATTTCATTTCCAATACAGCTATGCGAACCCCAAATCGTAAATATGGAACAAATCTATACATTGTAAGCTCACTAAGTAATATACCTAACTTAATTACCCAACTCCATGTTCTGCTAATTAAGTTATCATTATTTGCTATATATAACCAAAAAATATCAACAGTATCATAACTGAGTTGCCAAAAACTTCACGAAAAAAAGAACAAGATTGCCTAGTACTGAAGGTTAAAACAGAAGTCTAGATTAAAGGTTCTACCTAAGTTCCTAGCATTTTAAAAGCTTACATAAAGTTCTTGAAAACAGATTGGAATTTGAGAAAGATACTGTATTCTATCTTAAGCAAAAGAAATAAAATAAAGATAAGGGAAAGAAGAGTCAATGAGAGGAGGAAAAGAGAGAATCAAAGAGAAATGATAACCATTTCTTTTTCCATCACATTCTATAAGAGCGAGAGAAACAATGACCAATCGAAAAAACTCTGTCACTAATCTATGCTTCAGTGAAGCACTCAAGCATTTTGAAGAATATTTAACAACTTTTGCTCTCTTGAAACACTAAATCAGTAAATTAACTTACAGGTTTATAAGAATCCAGAAAACAATTCATATGAAAAGGCTGTTTAACAACCTGTCGCATGCTCTACCAAAACTATCAGCACATTAAGGAACTTCAAACTTCATTACACATAACATATTATCAAAAATATTACAAACTGCTAATGTTTTTCTTGCACAAGGGTCTCAGTTACATATATTTACAAGCTCTGCATATCTTGTTGATCCAACGGAAACACTGGCAAACCAAGGTGCCTTCCAATAATTCAGCTCATATGGTTCAGTAGATGGCTAACTGATAGATAGCATTAGAAAAATCTTGTTTATATGCCCCCCATACACTCAAATTAATATACCAATCTCATCAACCTAAAGTAACTGAAACACAAAGGTAGATTATCCATGCAAGGCTATGAATTCCAAAGGAACCATTAACTTACTTACCAAAAAGCTCCATGATTAATAAAGAAATTGAATTCATTTTGGAAAGTCCCTTCAATTACATTTCAATCTAGAAAGATCGCACCGTCACATAAAGCAGAAAAGGCATTTCAAACATTTCTAATGTCGTAAATATTGTTGTAACTAATGCAACTAAATGCAGTCAAACAAACTGCGATTTAGTAACAACATTTAAATCACAAAAACCATCATTAATCCATTGCCATAATCTATTGGCATCACTCAATAGATAGAGAATTTCACAGAGAACTTCAAGAAATATATTAAACTCCATAATTAAGAAGGGAAATCCTAATCATGGTCTGCTGGCTGTTAAGATAAAACTAAAGAAAATGTTAAATTAACCCCCAAAGAATGGGAAGTTGATAGAACAGATCCCATACAACAGCAATCTAAGCTAATTGGGAATATAAACAAAAATTAAGTACCGAACCCACCATCACAAGAAATGTAATCATCCATCAAATCGAATTGGCATCAAATCAATCGAGAAGAAAATAAGTAGCAGCAGGAAAATTGACCAAAAATTAGAGGTTAAGGAGAGGGAGAAAAGTACAGTAAAGTGCATAAGTTGCGAGGATGAAAGAAATGCATAAATCTGATCACCAAACGCAGATAATAGAATCGAAGAATTTATCGAACTGAAAAAGAGAAAACTAGGTAATAATCAAAAAACCCAAATTAACAAATTCAATCATCGCCCACAAATCAATCGGATTATCGGAAGACAGTAAAAAAGAAATTTACCTCAGACCCACATCCTCTTTTCACCTCTCCTCGACGATTCCCACAACGGATTCAATAAATCCTCAACAGCAAAATCTCCACATGATGGAAAATTCGGACGCCAGAAAAACCCCCACTACGAACAAAAAAATTAAGCTGACAAAAAAAAAGTAAAAAAAAAAAACAATAACAGAAGAAAGAGCGAAGTGGGTGTTTCGCAGCACCATTAAGCAGCTTAGATCGTCATCTTCGATCTACTGGGCCACTCTCTCTGGTCTCTTTCCCTCTCTTGTTTAACCAAAAAAGAGGTTTTTTTTTTTAATTTTGTTGGCTAGAGAGAGAAAGAGAGAGATCCCAGATAAGAAATCACAAAAACAAACGACCTTCTAACAACAGTGACATGAAATTTGTCAACATCCGGTCTCTTTTTATTCTCTGCTTTTTCTTCACTTCTCTCTCTCATTTCTTTTCCTATTTATATAAATAAGGAGTAATTAATTTTATATTTCTGGGTTTTTGAGGAAATGGGCATTTCTAGATTCTCTCCACCTTCCTTGCTTTTGCTACACTGTTAACACACACATACACATATGTCGATTCATCACAACTCCTCACTATTATCATTTATTTTTTTACTCATTCTGTCTGATTTCTCCCAAAAACAACCTCCACAAATTAAAAACCTAGTTGTTTTCATCAACTATTTAATATTATATTTCGCATTTATTACGTATAAACTCAATAATGCAAATTATTTTCAAAAATATAAAATCTGCTGGACTTTAACTTTATAACCCTCTAAATAATATATTGATTTTGCAAATGGTTCAATTAACATGGTCGACAATAAAAACATTTAACTTTTAGATTTCAGACATTCATGTCTTTAAAAATAATATGTTTTAGTATTAAATTAAATATATTTATTAGATTACTGAATTGGGTTAGATTTAATTCTATGTAAAGCAGAAATATTTAGCATAAATTGAGAAATCTTGTCCATATTAAAAAGAGGATTAATAGGGGGAGACAAAGTGTGGGTCCCACGGATACACTGTGAGAAGAAGGATGAGGTTTGTGAACTGCAGGGTACGGTAATAAATGGGCTTGTGGTTTCAAATAATTACGAAAATGGGATCCGTTGATTTTCATAGGCTGATCCTCTGTTTCACTAGACTTCTGATTTGCGACTAGTTTAAAAAAACCTACACCCAACACGTGGCACTACGTCAAAATATCATATGTTACCTAAGGTTTAAGTATTTTATATTAATATGTGTCTTTCACTATTTTAAATATAGTAATTGGGGTTGAAATAAATTTTTTTATTTTTCTATTGAATTTAATTATTTGATAATTTTTTATTTCTTTTTTTAATTTTTAAAATTAAATTAAAATTTAAATCTAAAATTTTTAAATAAGACAAGTATTAACATTTAATTACTATATACACAAAAGTAAATAAAATTTATTAAATTATTAAAATTTTAAAAGTAATAAAAAATTAATGTGTGATATCTTTCCTTGCATAAATTACCACATTCATCTCAACTATTTAATTTAAGGTTTGAATTTGAAATTTAACTCTATTCTTATCTATTTGTATTAAAAAATTAAACAAATAAATCGGTGTATATTATATATCTATAGAATTATAACTTGTAATATTGTTACAATATGGTATATATTAAATAATAGTATATAATATTAAGATACGTAATGCATTAAAAACAAATAGATAAAGTACTCTAGCTTTAAATTTGGTATGGAGTACAATCACAATTCTCAATTTTTTTTTGTTTAATACACCATAAAAAATTTTAAAAACAAAGAGAATATTTAAGTTTTATTACAATTTTTTAAATATATTAAAGTTTAAAAACAATTATAAAATTCAAATTGACTAAAGACTTTGAAATTATTTTGAAGTATCGAGATAATAATAAATTCTAAGATCACTTTTGTTTAATAAATCACGAACAAAATAAAATAATATGCTTAAATTTTGAAATTATTATGAATAATAAAAAAAATGCATAAATTTTAAACTATATAAAATTTAAAATATGTATTTATACTATTTTAAAATTCATAAAATAACTCTTATTTTTTACTGGCTAGTTAACAATTAATATAATTTTTTATCTTATAAATTTTTTAGTTATAATATAAAAATTTATTAAAATAATATAATTTAAAATACGTTTAACATAAGATTTGATATTATTATAAACATTAAGTTAAGTTACAAAAATTTAGGTACTTTAAATTGATTACTTTGTTTACGAAAAATAAAAATGTTATGCTTGATATTTGCGAATTTATTTATCTATATATATATAAACACTTTATCTAAAAGGTCCTGAATGATTCTTCTTTTACGGTCCAGATCTAATATTTCACCATCCCCATAAACAAAAACAATCAGATTCATAATGTGCAAATTATCTTCCCCATCACACATCATAGAAATGATGATGCCATATCCAGATATTACATTTTTTTTTTAAATATTCTCTTTCTAAATAGAAAAAAGAAATTAAATTATCTCTATATATATATGTGTGTGTGTGTGTACATCTTTGACAATCATTACAATTGGTCAATTTCTCCATCATATTTATGCAATGTATATAGCAGCAAAAAGTATACCACAAAAAATTAGGTATTTCTAAGTTTATTGATTTAAAATAATACAATACTTGTACGCGATTTT